CATTTATTAGTTAACATCCAAGAGTTCTACAATTTTTTAGACAAATAAATGTAATTTCTCCTCCAAGAACATAAGCTGGTCATGACGTGGTAGCTGCAAATGGCCCCGAAAATTGGGGCAACTCTCAATAATTTAAAAAACCTCTTCATCGATTGCCCGATTCTTCGTAAGATTAGCAAAAGCTACAAGACAACAGACAACCAGATGCGCCACTTTTAGTTCTCTTTGGGTTTTTACTACTCCCAGACACCAAATTGTTCTCATTCGGTAAAAAAATAACATTGTTATAAAAATGGAGACTATTGAATTTCTAGTGAACCCTTCTTATGTGACATTTTCCGATATGAATACGCGAGAAGGCTGCCTCAGCTTTTAGTTGCTACAATGTTTGAGGACTCGAAATACATGTGCTTGACGTAAAATATTGGGGGTTACGCGAGGCGGCCTGTGTTCAACAGATTCAGTTGACAAATATCATAAACAATAAATTTACTTGAGTTGCCTTTTGCAAAAGTCTGTTGTTTTTAGCTTTGGCAAAATATTAAGTTTATTATGTAAATACTGGTGGTCTCCGATTGGGGTAACTTGCAAAAGAGCACAGCATTGATCCACCGTAACAAAACCTGGAAGTCAGAACGGTGATTGACCTATTTATTAACTATAAAGCTCACCGTTGTGTATTGTCGAAAAACCATGTGTAGTGAGCATTTCGCAAGATTAGCAACAAGTGACGCTGCTCATCTCGGAGAAGAACAAATTTTCAATGGTTCATTTAGACTTCCCACCGAGAAAGAGACAAAGATTTCCAATTTCTTATCAACCTTAAGTTATCGAATGAAAAGAACATGTTTATCATTCCATGCAGTGAAAGGCGGGAGATGTAGGAATAAACTGAGATATCTGCCCTAAACTTACACAAAAGAGAACCAATGCCCTGGCATGAAAACTTGGGATTATTTTCCGTTAAGTTAAACTGTTATGAATGCAGTGATAAAAAGCGAAATAGATTCTTTCTTCAATAGTATATCTGTCAGACTTGTTTGCTTTACTTTAAATACGTTGGAGAGGTTTCCGGGAGTGCTGTCCCTCAAAAGGTAGATTTAAGTGCACCAGATCCACATTACTCAGTAAACGCTTTGTCGGATTTTTCTGTCACGTGTTTTAACGCCAAGAATTTTCCACTCGTCCCAACACCGTTAAATCAGAGGACGTAGTTAAAATCGATTAAAATTCTCTTAGCGTCCTAACACCTTATGGAACTCAGCGGGGAAAAATAGTAGTGTAAATTGCTCTAGATATTTTGAAAAGTTCTGGGAAAAAACTGACGCCTCACCTGTTCGCCATTAGCAGTTTTGTCGCGAAGAGATCATGAAGTACAGCAAACAATTAACCAACCAACTACCAACATTATCTTCTCTATAAAGTAGTCTCTAATCATGGTCCGACTGTTTGTGAATGTGTTGTCCGCTGCATATTGTAAATCTCTTTACGAAGATTTACAGTGAGTGTTGTCAGAGGAAAAATGACTTAGCCATCAGCACTTAAGGTATGAATGTTTCGAGCAAATTGGAAGCTGATATATGCAAAAAAATTCTGAAATTCTGAAATTACCAGTTATGTTGCCAATATGTGATATCTGGGGAAGGATTCAACATACGGCTAATCAGAACAGACTAAAACAAGGAAGTTCGTGTCCGCTAGTGTGAAAACGGATAAACTAGCATGCAAAACAACATTATATGATTAAACCGGAAGCCTGGCTTTGTAGCTAATATACCTTGAAATCGTCATTTGGTAGTTTATTCGGTCGCTTGCTAGCAATCGCATGACTGGTGGTACGCAACATTTATACCCTGTTTGTTGTTTATTTATTAGACTGTTTGACTTTTTATGATTTCCGTCTTACTCAAGTTGGCCTCCTCCCTCCGAACTTACGCCCGACAACATACACCTTCAAAGACTCTGGTACCGACCATATTTGAGAAGAGATATACTCACAGCTAGTATCATACTGCAAGAGTATGAATATAGTTTGGCCACATAGGTACTTAGGTATTCATTTCCTTTTTACCTTTCTGACTCCAAGGGAAAGATTCGTCTGTCTTATCTACCGCTTTGGTCCAAAGACATCAGTAATACGGAACAATTCGTCCGATCTGCCCTGGAGAAATTAGCGGAATTCACCCTAAAGATGTATGTCATATAACATAGAGATCCGGATTTAGTTAGTCCTGCTCGTTTTCGTCAGGTCTATGCTACTACGCATCAGAGCGGTAAAAGACTCCTTCACTGGCACGATTTAGTGTAAGTAAATAATGATGTTCTGAGATCTCGGATGTATTTTTTCCAATACACGCCGCTGAAATGCTTTCTGCCTTTACACAAGAACGATTACCCGTCCAAAAGCACCGATTTTTACTAGAGCACAAAAGTAATTTTAATGCTTTCACCGGCACCATCTTCAAAATAACAACACTGTCAATAATTAATAGCTTGCAACTGCAGCTAATTTCTCAAATATCAATATACGAAGCCTCTTCTCAAAAGGGAACATCCTTCGTTTCATGTGAAATATTAACTGCAAGCTTGGGTTGAAATTGGATTAAGCCCAAACCTAGTCAGCGTCTTAGTAATTTTATACCAAGCAAGCAATTACCGAACTGAGGCACGTTATTCTCCATCTGACACGTTATACTCATCTATCGCATATTGGTTAATGTTTGTACCACAGCTCTTTTTCGAGTGACTAACATGACACGGAACTTGCGCCTATTAATATTTGGCGAATTCTTGTTTTTGTCATTTGTTTAGCAATTTGTTTAACTCTATTCGTTCACAACCGTTTATGAACTGTACTAGTAGTATACGTTTACCTGAAGAAAAGAATGGCCTTGTGGAGATGGGGAGTGTCATCTTTAGGTTGTCCAAATTTTCGCATGTTCGTTTTAAGCTAATGACAAGTTCGGTTTGTTTAATTTAAAACAAAACACGGACGAACAAGCCGAAGTTTGCACCGAAACACTAGGACTTGTTTCAGGACCAGGGGAGACAGTGAACCGTGCCATAGTTCAGGGTAGTGGGGTGGCATGCCGATGACATTCCTATAAGAGAAGCCTGTCAAGGCACGACACAGTAGGCAGAAATTGTGCTTCCTGCAATCGCCGGATTATGCACAGAGAATTCAGGCGATTTCATTGGAGAGTCAGAATGAGCAGTGCGTTAAAAGGGCCTATTACATAAGAGTTTCCCCAACTGCACGATATCCTTGTTCTTTTTTGCTTTGATCAGAGCTCAGAGTGAGATCCAACCGCGTTGATGGTGTCGTAATAAACGGTGGCGTTTCACGGGAAAACAACTCGGACAAGGTTTTAATTTTTTGACCTGTCTATTGAGGCAGAGAATGAATATATCTTATTTATGGATGTTTTGGCACTCCTATCTTGCGATACGTTTCACAAACTGATTCCCGTACGAGTTAAATGACTGTGAATTTACGACTGGATAGAAAATTACCGGAAGAACAACATTTTTACCCAATTACACCATGGTTGATTTATAGTTGATGCTACTCGATTCTGTTGTCTTTCCAAGTTTTTTTACACATTATGCTGATAGCAATATTAACCGATCAGAACAACTAGTGAGCTGTCAAAGCATTTTAAAATGCAAAAATACTTTTTTCAGCAGTAAGAGAGAGTACAGAGCGAAATACACTCATCTGCAAACAAATTTGGTTTTGCGAGAGGCTCACCTGGAACGCAGTTGAATCTCTCCTTTTGATGTTTCAACTGAATGTGCTGCTTGAAAACATCACAAATGGGAGATTCAGCTGGGTTTCAGGTGAGTCTCGCACGAAACCAAATTTGTTTGCAAGTGAGTGTATATAACTAACTTCGTCCAATTTGGCTTCAACTATATCATAAGACTGACGGAAACTCGCGGAGTGCGCCTACCTGGTGGGCCCCAAGGAGGACGAAACCGGTCGTAGGCAGTCGAAGTATTTTCAGTAAACGTGCGTTACGTATACAGAGTTTACACAGGTCTACTTTTTTAACGCGCTCAATAAGTGAACTCCACCAAATTAATAAAATTTCGTGGTTACGGGGTTTAAGTACGAATCAAGTTGAAACTTGTGTGTGCATACTGTTTGTATTGCATGAGCTCTATAATGAAGAATTCAAAGTGAAGGCGAATCAAGTTCAAAAGAACGACTTGATTGCGCTTCACGGAACAAGAGTTCATGCCAACAGTGAAGTCTTTTTCAAAACAAATTGTTTCCGTCCATTGAATATCGGCCACAATTGATGAAAAACACGCGTTCATAATTTTTAAAACAGAAAACGGCATCCAATCTGACGTGGTTCAGGTAGGGATTACAGTTCGTGTCACCGTAACGGATTACCTCTATGTTTAGTGCTGGAGTACCCGAGCACCAAGAATTCGTTGCTTCACTCAGAAAACTTGAGCTTTTCAGGCTAATACCGCACGTTACGCTGAGAGACTCAAAACTATAAATCCCAAAGCTCAGCTTGTAATCTACTTTTAAAAGACGTCTGGCGTATTGTGTAGCCGGACCTACACTGTCCCAGGATGTTATTTAAGCGTCCAGTGTAAACAGGCGCTTTGTGGCTAGTAAGGTTATGTGATAGGTCATGCGGTTCAACGAAGTGTCATTTAAACTCTAATAGAAGACTTTGGCAACAGGAATGTGATTATGATATTTCGATTGATTTGCACTCCTAATCAGCCGTACTACATGTTTCCTGAAATCGGAGCTATAATACGTCACACTATCTCCGCTGCTCCGTTTCCGTTTTATAGGGTTTCTATTGTTCAGAATACTTAACGGGTATGGGAAACTGTCTGCCTGGTCTGCTACACCAACTGGCTACCCCGGTATAACACAATAAGAAAACTTTTCAAAACACCACCGTAGCAGAGCTGGTTGTACACAAAGAAAGGTCATGAGGTAATCTCGCCGAAATTGTAAAAAAAGTCAGAACACTGGTTGTTGATCAGGTGGCTGTTGACCTGTTCGCCGAGCTTGGCAATTGGCTTGCAAACGTTTCGTCACCATACGAGGAGGCATCATCAGTGCGCACATCATCAACCACGCACTGATGATGTCTCCCCATATGGTGACGAAACGTTTGCAAGTCAACTGAAATTCTGAAATTACCAGTTATGTTGCCAATATGTGATATCTGGGGAAGGATTCAACATACGGCTAATCAGAACAGACTAAAACAAGGAAGTTCGTGTCCGCTAGTGTGAAAACGGATAAACTAGCATGCAAAACAACATTATATGATTAAACCGGAAGCCTGGCTTTGTAGCTAATATACCTTGAAATCGTCATTTGGTAGTTTATTCGGTCGCTTGCTAGCAATCGCATGACTGGTGGTACGCAACATTTATACCCTGTTTGTTGTTTATTTATTAGACTGTTTGACTTTTTATGATTTCCGTCTTACTCAAGTTGGCCTCCTCCCTCCGAACTTACGCCCGACAACATACACCTTCAAAGACTCTGGTACCGACCATATTTGAGAAGAGATATACTCATAGCTAGTATCATACTGCAAGAGTATGAATATAGTTTGGCCACATAGGTACTTAGGTATTCATTTCCTTTTTACCTTTCTGACTCCAAGGGAAAGATTCGTCTGTCTTATCTACCGCTTTGGTCCAAAGACATCAGTAATACGGAACAATTCGTCCGATCTGCCCTGGAGAAATTAGCGGAATTCACCCTAAAGATGTATGTCATATAACATAGAGATCCGGATTTAGTTAGTCCTGCTCGTTTTCGTCAGGTCTATGCTACTACGCATCAGAGCGGTAAAAGACTCCTTCACTGGCACGATTTAGTGTAAGTAAATAATGATGTTCTGAGATCTCGGATGTATTTTTTCCAATACACGCCGCTGAAATGCTTTCTGCCTTTACACAAGAACGATTACCCGTCCAAAAGCACCGATTTTTACTAGAGCACAAAAGTAATTTTAATGCTTTCACCGGCACCATCTTCAAAATAACAACACTGTCAATAATTAATAGCTTGCAACTGCAGCTAATTTCTCAAATATCAATATACGAAGCCTCTTCTCAAAAGGGAACATCCTTCGTTTCATGTGAAATATTAACTGCAAGCTTGGGTTGAAATTGGATTAAGCCCAAACCTAGTCAGCGTCTTAGTAATTTTATACCAAGCAAGCAATTACCGAACTGAGGCACGTTATTCTCCATCTGACACGTTATACTCATCTATCGCATATTGGTTAATGTTTGTACCACAGCTCTTTTTCGAGTGACTAACATGACACGGAACTTGCGCCTATTAATATTTGGCGAATTCTTGTTTTTGTCATTTGTTTAGCAATTTGTTTAACTCTATTCGTTCACAACCGTTTATGAACTGTACTAGTAGTATACGTTTACCTGAAGAAAAGAATGGCCTTGTGGAGATGGGGAGTGTCATCTTTAGGTTGTCCAAATTTTCGCATGTTCGTTTTAAGCTAATGACAAGTTCGGTTTGTTTAATTTAAAACAAAACACGGACGAACAAGCCGAAGTTTGCACCGAAACACTAGGACTTGTTTCAGGACCAGGGGAGACAGTGAACCGTGCCATAGTTCAGGGTAGTGGGGTGGCATGCCGATGACATTCCTATAAGAGAAGCCTGTCAAGGCACGACACAGTAGGCAGAAATTGTGCTTCCTGCAATCGCCGGATTATGCACAGAGAATTCAGGCGATTTCATTGGAGAGTCAGAATGAGCAGTGCGTTAAAAGGGCCTATTACATAAGAGTTTCCCCAACTGCACGATATCCTTGTTCTTTTTTGCTTTGATCAGAGCTCAGAGTGAGATCCAACCGCGTTGATGGTGTCGTAATAAACGGTGGCGTTTCACGGGAAAACAACTCGGACAAGGTTTTAATTTTTTGACCTGTCTATTGAGGCAGAGAATGAATATATCTTATTTATGGATGTTTTGGCACTCCTATCTTGCGATACGTTTCACAAACTGATTCCCGTACGAGTTAAATGACTGTGAATTTACGACTGGATAGAAAATTACCGGAAGAACAGCATTTTTACCCAATTACACCATGGTTGATTTATAGTTGATGCTACTCGATTCTGTTGTCTTTCCAAGTTTTTTTACACATTATGCTGATAGCAATATTAACCGATCAGAACAACTAGTGAGCTGTCAAAGCATTTTAAAATGCAAAAATACTTTTTTCAGCAGTAAGAGAGAGTACAGAGCGAAATACACTCATCTGCAAACAAATTTGGTTTTGCGAGAGGCTCACCTGGAACGCAGTTGAATCTCTCCTTTTGATGTTTCAACTGAATGTGCTGCTTGAAAACATCACAAATGGGAGATTCAGCTGGGTTTCAGGTGAGTCTCGCACGAAACCAAATTTGTTTGCAAGTGAGTGTATATAACTAACTTCGTCCAATTTGGCTTCAACTATATCATAAGACTGACGGAAACTCGCGGAGTGCGCCTACCTGGTGGGCCCCAAGGAGGACGAAACCGGTCGTAGGCAGTCGAAGTATTTTCAGTAAACGTGCGTTACGTATACAGAGTTTACACAGGTCTACTTTTTTAACGCGCTCAATAAGTGAACTCCACCAAATTAATAAAATTTCGTGGTTACGGGGTTTAAGTACGAATCAAGTTGAAACTTGTGTGTGCATACTGTTTGTATTGCATGAGCTCTATAATGAAGAATTCAAAGTGAAGGCGAATCAAGTTCAAAAGAACGACTTGATTGCGCTTCACGGAACAAGAGTTCATGCCAACAGTGAAGTCTTTTTTAAAACAAATTGTTTCCGTCCATTGAATATCGGCCACAATTGATGAAAAACACGCGTTCATAATTTTTAAAACAGAAAACGGCATCCAATCTGACGTGGTTCAGGTAGGGATTACAGTTCGTGTCACCGTAACGGATTACCTCTATGTTTAGTGCTGGAGTACCCGAGCACCAAGAATTCGTTGCTTCACTCAGAAAACTTGAGCTTTTCAGGCTAATACCGCACGTTACGCTGAGAGACTCAAAACTATAAATCCCAAAGCTCAGCTTGTAATCTACTTTTAAAAGACGTCTGGCGTATTGTGTAGCCGGACCTACACTGTCCCAGGATGTTATTTAAGCGTCCAGTTTAAACAGGCGCTTTGTGGCTAGTAAGGTTATGTGATAGGTCATGCGGTTCAACGAAGTGTCATTTAAACTCTAATAGAAGACTTTGGCAACAGGAATGTGATTATGATATTTCGATTGATTTGCACTCCTAATCAGCCGTACTACATGTTTCCTGAAATCGGAGCTATAATACGTCACACTATCTCCGCTGCTCCGTTTCCGTTTTATAGGGTTTCTATTGTTCAGAATACTTAACGGGTATGGGAAACTGTCTGCCTGGTCTGCTACACCAACTGGCTACCCCGGTATAACACAATAAGAAAACTTTTCAAAACACCACCGTAGCAGAGCTGGTTGTACACAAAGAAAGGTCATGAGGTAATCTCGCCGAAATTGTAAAAAAAGTCAGAACACTGGTTGTTGATCAGGTGGCTGTTGACCTGTTCGCCGAGCTTGGCAATTGGCTTGCAAACGTTTCGTCACCATACGAGGAGGCATCATCAGTGCGCACATCATCAACCACGCACTGATGATGTCTCCCCATATGGTGACGAAACGGAACAGTCTTCATACGGCCAGCCAAAAGAAGTGAAAGACAAGTAAAAACAAAATTTTCCGAACACGTTAAATACAGGTTAGCACCAGACAAATTAAATATTTTCCACGGGATTTTCATGTTAGTAGACGCTTCCTTCTGCCAATATTCTATTAAAAACAACTAGAATTTATTTATACTGTGAGGAGATGTGGGTTTTTTAGGAGATTTCGTCCCGAGGGTGAAGTCAATCTATGCTGAATGGCCGAGAAGTACTGTACATCTGTTTCATCCATATTGAGAATCAACAGCAGTGCGCATCTCACGAAACTCTGAAGAGCCTCGAACCCGCGACCTCCTGCCCAATAGTTTGAACACTTAACTGTCTGGCCACTCGTAGCCTTCTAGTACTAGTACTAGAAGAGCTCGTCCCATTCACCGATTCATCCTGGTTTCAGGGGGATACTGCTCTGTTCTCGACAACAATGGCGATCACCGCTCCATTTTTGAGGTAAGGAATAACCAGGCGGCAAAAGAGTGGCCAGATTATTATTGGCATAGTCATCTCGTCTTATGAGAGTAGAATGGTGCAAGTACTGCTTGGAAACCTGAGGAAACTTGTCGCTGATATGCCTAGTTGAATTACTAGAGCCTTCGTGGGGGTATGGAATGGGTATGATGGTGAAATAAAAAGCCATTTCTCCGCACGAAGACCAATGTACTTCATACAACAGCGCTGCATTTGTCAGAAACTCTGCTAGTAAGTAGAAGTTATCTGAAGAACAACGTCAGGTGTGTTGGTTTGCTGCCACCGTAAAGCAAGGCAGGTGGGTTTAAGAAATATTGACCAGCTCATCTAATCTGACTACAAGCAAGGCTGTTGTCGGAAACCCCATCACCTTCCGCGAATCACTCGATAATTTTCAAGTCAACTGATCGATATCCTACTGAATGCCCAGCGAGGTTACTGAATACTGTCCACTGATAACTTTGAGTTAATCATTTGGAAGTAGATGAATGAAGTCAGACCGCATTTCAATTATAACTAGCGAGCTGAGACAAACATATATATACAGATCAGTCTAGTGTTCTCAATTAATACTCAAAGAGCAGTCGCGTCCGAAAGAAGGGAAAGCTGAAAGTGTCACACATATGACGGGTTGCTTTAGGCAGGAAACGTTTTCAAGAGCCTAATCGGGTCTGTTCACTCAGCTCAGAAGTACTTCCTTTTTTTGTAACAAGTACAATATACACATCGACCATGCTTTCTCAGACAGAAAAATGGCACAATACATCTTAAATAATGTTGATTGATGGCTCACTGCAAGAGCACACCATAGATAGCATAGATAGGTAAGCAGGCAGGAAGGTGAATGAACGGATAGATTGATTGAGAAATAGATTAGATAGATAGATAGATAGATAGTAGATAGATAGATAGATAGATAGATAGATAGATAGATAGATAGATAGATAGATAGATAGATAGATAGATAGATAGATAGATTAGAAGACAGACATAGATGGATAGTAGCTGACTAACTTCAAAAAGCACTACTTCCTACAAGTTCACGTTAGAGTCTTGTGAGTTTAGAAGGCTGGAGAAGTACGTTACAGCACAACTTTCATTACCCAGTAGTAAATTTTGCGTTTACAATGTGATAAAACATGTTCTTTTAAAAATAGCGTTTGTGCTAAAATTTAAATAAATGTGTGTATGGTAAGACACATGCATATATATCTCCGTGTACAAGAAAACTAACTTTTTCTGAAACTAAACAATTGTCTACAATTTCAATGTCATTATCCATTTATATGCCTCATATTTGTACAAAAATACACATCGAAATTAAACATATCCTTCCCTAGGCTCCTCAGGGGTGGGTAGAAAACTTGAGGACGCAGACGGTTTTCCAATATGACCACCTTTTCCCTAACTTTGCTTCGAGGATTTCTCCTAGAAGTGCAAGTAGAAATCAGTATGGTACTTTCTTTGATGTATAAATATATGATCGACGCGATGAAACAGAAGTGGCTGCCATCTAGAAGTGAAGACGATAAAATGGTAAAGAATCTCAGCCTAGTCCCGTGAAACAAAGTGTGTTGGAAGCTAGAGTTGGTAGTTTTCTTGGACAAATAATGTGGCTGGTCAGATGAGGACAAATATTATGCAGATAACCAGAGGTGCGTTCCCTTAGAATCACAATCGGAATATAACAGAACGGTAAAAGTGGTCCCTTCAAGAGGGTGACCGATTCAGATAGGCAACCAGTATAGGAGCTTTACCTTGTACAAAATTACAAGGAAATATGGAGTGGAATCGAAATGCTTTTGGCTGAGTTTGCTTGAAAAGCAAACTCATGGTTCACAGGGATGCAATTCTAAAAAATCTGGATAAGAAAATATGGCAGGCTAACTGCTCCAGAGGACCATTTATTATGGACAAGTTTTTAGTACGCATTATCAAACGGAAGGATACAATACCTCCATAAGTTGTTTTGCTCTGTTTCAAGCGAGTGTTCGGAATTTTATCCAATGCGTTCTCTTCTACCGATTAAATAGCTAGTTGATTAGTATATCGATTGGCGACGGAATCGATTTCCCCGTCTTAAACACTCTTCGTTATTGTCAAGTGAGTTTTTCGACAGACTGATAAGATACCCACACCAACATTGCCTGAACAAAACTAAGTTGCTCCTCCCAAATTTTGTCCCAGCTAGATTCCTGTGCATTTGAGAAGTTAAATGCAATAATCTTGTTAGGTCGATGTCTCCATTCACCTTGAATTTGTGCGTCAATGCTTTAGGAAATTTAAACAAGATTAAATAATCCAGGCTCTTTCCGGACAATTTCGTGGTGCACAATCAAACAGTACTGAGTAATTCACGCTTGGGTAAATATGCATTTACCCAATAGGATCCAACAGGAATCCTTTATTCAGGAGTACAGAGAATCATTTTATCATGGTACATGTAGCCAAAAACAGTGCGCCCCCGGAAACGGACGCGTTCAACCAATTGTACAAGGTTCACTGTGAAACATATTTGGGATTGGAATATTCGCTTTTACTGGGTATTTTTTGTCACTGTCGAAATTTCTAACGGGCGTTTACGTATTAGTTGTTTTTCGGTTTTAACTCTTTGTCAGAACTAAACACTTCTGGAGCACCTTACACGTAGTCTCTCCTGGGCCATCTATGCATAAGCTGCCAAGTCCTTTACTGGTTCAGCGATAGGTAAAGACACACCCATTAGCTCTGACTCCAAAGGGGTATCTTTCAACTTGCGATCGGAGGGAATGTTGAGAGCTCCGATTTCACGAATGGTGGTTCTGCGTGTTTGTTTTCAAACTAACGGATATATTGCCAAATATACGATCGCATATTGTGCCTTCCAAATTATTTTAAGCGGCTGGTGTAACGTAGACACTTGACCCATTCCAAGTTGTAACCTGTTATTTCGGTAAGTTTCTGTCATGGTTTCCACCAAACTCTGTCTGATGATTTGTTGTGCATCAAATGTAGTTCAACCGACCAAGTTTTATTTGGACAGCGATGAAAATTTGCCCATCATTCCTTTTCGTTCTATGTGATAACCCAGTATAAACAGGATGTTACTGAAGAACCCTACGAATCCTCATTAGACTCTCAATTTTACAGAGTTTTGGTTCCTTCTCATAGAACCTACCTCAGGTTCAGACCTAATTGTCCAGAGAAACAGCTTGGAAAATGTCCCAACGCAGCCTCACTGCCGAAAACTTTGAAGCAACCTCAGAACCGAGCAGTTTAAACTCCATGTGTACATATATAAAATACAGCAAATTTAACTGAAAAAATAGATGGAGATTTATTGTTCATCAATTTTCCATAGCGCTGCCGGTAACCGATCAAAGCGTTGTGCAAAGATACTATCACCGGCATTTGGTGTGGTGTTTCGGGCACGAATAGCTTGGAAAAAATTCGGCTCACCTAAAAAATCATGACCACCGGCATCCAGAGTGGCACGTTTTTCATTTCGGCAACTGATATTGGTCGATACATTATGCGAAATGATAAATAGAGCGGCGCGATCCTCATGGCTTAAGTTGCCGTATACTTACTCTCGGGACATTTCCATTTTAATCCAGATATGAATGTGGGATAAAAATTTACGCGGGATGTTGGGCTTCCTTGCTGCCATATGACATTCTAAAACTTTCAAACCCCACTACTTCCAACGCGTGAAGTAAAATAAGCTTTGAGATGTTGACAACATTAACTACGTTATTGGCCAGTCTGATTCCGATGCCATCCGAGAATATTATGTCAATGGCGATTAACAGGCAAAAGACAGAAGGAAAGCAACAGACCAAGACTGGAACTGCAAAATAAAGAGGTCATTTTTGCTCTACAAGGACCATAATTAACGTCATACTCATTGATTTTAAGCAAAGGAAACGCGCAATCATTGTTATTTATTCATCTTGGCTGTACTCGATTTTACCTCTGAAAATGTGGGAAAATTCAAAACGTGGGAGCTCTGTCAAAATATTTTCATTTTATTGGTCACATCAGACAGTCAGTCACTCAATATATGCTCCGGCCTTCTGAGTTTAGGTACCTTGACGTTAAGATTTCAAATTCAGATCAACAGTTGACGAGCGGACAATTTTGATGGCTTCGTCAAATTCGCCAGATATAGGCTTCCTATTCTTTAAAAATAAGGACGAAAACGGGAAAACGTTGGCCTTATGATGGGAAATGTTGGCATTTGCCTCCAAAAAAGACCCATTCTAACAGGTCGCTTTTGAAAAGTTTACCATTTTTCTACCAAACTCACAGGCATAACTACTGTGACCAGTCTTTGTAACAATTACAACGTTCAATTCTCGCCCGAGAAAATCATCAACATGATTGAGTTAGGCAGTCAACACTCGGTTGGATCCGAAATCGCTCGCATTTGCCCCACAGAACTCCACTTTCTACTGTGATCATTCCGTCCAATAATATAAATCTA